CAATAGAAGCAATCTTAATCGTATAAATTTGTTATTCACGTTTTTACTTTCGCTGTTCGCGTGTAGAAAAATCATCCTTAACAACAATAACAAGAACTTAAAAGTGTTTGCTTTCCTGATTGTATCCGATGAACAAGTCGTAAAATTAACAACCCCCTAAAAGCGCTCCAAGGGCGTGACGTCTTGTTTTCTTTTCAGACGAATTCTTTTCAAATTTTCACAGCGGTACGATTTGTGCAGGGCTCTCGCAAGGACGGCTCGCATCTCGAACGTCTTTGTTGGAATAATATAAGGAGGGATTTTCGTTTGCAACCAGTCTCCGGAGATTACCGCACCAGATAGCGGCATTGCCACAAAAAATTAAATGATAATGTATTCGGTGTTTGAGACAGACGGCCAACAATCGCAACTTTCGTTGAAATTTAAAACAAAAATGCTACCCATCAATCGGAACAAAAAAAATGGAGAATAGCCATTGTACCTACATATACTGAAAAAAATTATGACAAAATAGGTTACCTGTTGTCAGAAGTTCCAATTGAAATATAAATTCATAATTATGTTGTATTATGCCTGTAAAATGACAGGAAATAGCGCTAAACTGCAGGTAAGGATACCCTAAAAAATAGGTTTTTTTCCCAGAGATATCCAAAACTTCCAAAACAAGACAAAGCAATGAACATTGATATACTTGGCCAAACTCTTGTAATAGATTCTATCTCACAATTTGACAAAAAGAAATCATATAAATGTCTCCGGAAAAATTTAGTTTTCGAAAACCAGACTTATACAATATCTCAATCAAACTAGTCCTGATTTAAATTATCAGAAAGCGAATGAAGTGATTTACTTCAAATTTGATGTGTAATTTTAGTTTCTGATTATACGGGGTTAGTCAAAAGAAACCCTAAAAATTCTCATCTGGAAAGCATTTTTGGGAGGACAAAAATCTGAGCTTTTTTCACGGCGCATCGATGGTAACCTTGACCTTGAGTTCAAGGTCATATCAAGATCGAATAAGTTTTTTAAATGGCGACACGGAAAATGGGAAGAGCAGAAAATTCTGCATCCGAATATAACATGTACCGTGACCTCAAGGTCAATGATCAAGGTCAGTTCGAGGTCAAATATTAATGTTTACTGTGATTTTTTATTTTTAACTACGGAATCAGAGGGAGCGACAGTCTTTAAGTAGATACCTGATGGAACTCTTTAGTGACCTTGATCTTGAGGTCACTAAAAAATTGTGAGTCCCTTCTATTCCATCGTCGAAAATAAAAACTAACAGCCCGAATAATCAATTGACCTCCACCTGACCTTAATCATTGACCTTAATGTCACGTTTAAGATCATAATAACATGTTCTACGTTATCTTATTTTCTCTTAGCGTCGAAATAAGAGGTCGCTACTCCAAAAATCGGTATGTTGACATATTCTTTCGACCTTCAAGGTCACTAAGGAGAACCATCAGGCATCTACTCAAAGACTGTCACTCCCTCTGATTACGTAGTTTAAAAATTACAGTAAAAATCAACATTTGACCTTGAACTGACCCTGGCCATTGACCTTGAGGTTACGGTCAATGTCATATTGGGATGCAGAAATTCCTGCTCTTTTCATTTCCGAGGTTGAAAAGGAGGGTGGTCATAAAAAAACGACTTGATCTAGATATGACCTTGAACTTAAGGCCAAGGTTACCACGCCGTGAAGAATGCTGAGACTTTTGTCTTCACCATTTATCCCAACGAATTAAGAACCGATATTATTTAATTAATTTAATAAATATTAAATTATTATTGATTTATTATTACTATTATTAATTCATTATTAAGCGCTTTTATTTATTATTATAAAATATTATTTAAAAGCAAAATAATTATTTGAAAAAGCTTTTTCCTTAATAACGAATTAAAATGCAAATATTTGTTACAATTTTAAAAAATATGCAAATTATAAACTTTGCAGTGCAACAAATGTGGTGCATGCGCTTTATTCTTGAGATTAGTGTCAAATATATTCATAGATATTGAAACATGTCGAAGGAATTACGTCTATTTGTACTTATTGATTTATTATTATACACTTTTTCATTGCCAAATATTATCAATCGAGATTTCATTTCATTCAAAACTAAAGCATGACATTCTGAATCTTCAGAAATTTTTTTTAGGCCTTCGTTGATGGCCCCAAAGTACTTCCTTGAGGAACATCCTTCAATGTAATATAATTAAAAAGTGAATTCCTAAAGTAACTCTTTATTTGCGAACATCTAACGATAAATTTTAAAGTATCACCATCTAGTCCAAAGTATTTAAGCTTCAAAACAGAATCATCTAATGTATTAAAAGACTTAGTGTAGTCCAATGGTACTACACAGTCACTAAGTTGTTTATACACAATCCCGTCCAATACTATATACATAAAGGCAAGATACTAATAGATGGGCTTACATACTTACATTTAGTTTCCGTATAAGTACAATATTTTCATTTTTCCAAAGTAGTGGAAACTTAGCTGATTGAAGAGAGCTGTTCACAATATGTGTAATATAGAAAGTAAGAATGTAATTGATGTTTAATTAATACAATCATTTTAAGACTTATTTAATCTACGATAATATCTCTGCAAGAGATTCTTGTCACTGCTCTACATTGAAATTTGTCAGTAATATTTGCAAAAATTTGATTAAATGTAATGTCTGATGTAAAGTGTAAATATTAGTGAAAATATTATTGTTATTAGAATTTATAGAAAGTATAATATTTCTCTATAATGTACAGGGTGTCCCGCATAAGAACCGACACAGGGCAGGTGCATGTAAGGGTGTCCAAAATATTGTAATTTAACCAAACTTACCAATATACAAAATTTAATATTTCTGCAACACTTTACCGCAGGAGAACCAAATTTGGTAGATGATTTAGGTTTATTACTGGTCTTCTTTGACTATGATTTAAAGTTAATTAAAGCACTACAAGGTGTTCATTGGGGATGACTCACACCTAAAATTGTACCGAACTTTTTTTCATTGACCGAATTGAAAAATAGTAATATTAATTCAAGAAAAGCTGTATTAACTGTCACAAGATTTTAATGTGTTCATTAGAAAATAATCAAAAAGTCAGTAATAGGCTTTACCTTTCAAATTTGACAATAAATTTTACTTCACTTCTCTCCTAATTCTACAGAAAGAAAACAAATACCTATAGACAAGGCGAAAACCTCGCATTCGTGGGAGAAATTTTCCGACTCGATTTTTTTGCATATTCAGATTCGTGAGATGTTCCTTAACATGAATCAAGATGATGCCGGTCGGAAATCTGGTGCCCATTTGTTTAAACAAACTTTTTTTAAATAAATTGTAAAAATTGTTTTTTCACTCCGGAAAAAATTTTTTTATGCTCTTTTGGCACATTATAAACAAAGAAGTACCTATGCACTATGCCTCTAAAATTGATAGTTTTAAAGTTATAAATAATTTAATTTGCTAAAAATGCGAAAATGACAATTTTGAACGGCCGATTTCCGGGTTAAAAATTATTATTTTTGACGTTGCCAGGTACCTAAATTAAAGTTTAAACATCCCCCTACAAGATGCTGAAGAGTTTTTGGGACTCGCATTATTCTAAAGCCTTGTTTTTTAATTGTTAATAAAGCGCTATGACCCGCGAGCACGCCTGTCTCATACGCGGATTCGCTATTTCGTCTAGCGGCTTCAGCTTATGTTTTATGTCTGAATTAAGCAACGAAGATTTTGATGCATTGCAAAGATTATACCTAAAAATATTAAATAATCAATGCAAAACAGCCACCGAAATTACACGTTTTAAGAACTTCTTTACAAACGTACTTATGGAAAAGTTCCATTTTTCCTCAATATCAATATTTGGATTTCACAGCTTTTGGTTAACAAAATGAAACAGGTGAATTATTACCTAAATTTATTACCAAAGATCCATTACCCAAAGTTAAACAATGTAAATATACAAAAAACTGTAAGACTAAAGCTTATTCTTGTAGGAAAAACTATGTCACTTGTGTACTTTTACTTTTATGTAGTTGTAACATAGAATAGTGTGAGAATTCTTATGGTTGAATAAATGTCTGTAATAATAATGTGCAGTATTAAAAAAATTTTCTTTAATAAAAATCAAATGTATTTGATAATATTGCCCTTTTATTTTTTTTCTGAACTCTATTCGTACAATTTTGAATTAATTAAATAAAATTATTATGAATTATGAATAATGGCAGTCCCAAAAACTGTTCAGCATCTTGTAGGGGGATATTTAAACTTTAATTTAGGTTTAACAATTTTTAACCCGGAAATCGGCCGTTGAAAATATTGTATTAAGTAAAAAATACAAATAAATAATAAAAATAATAATTGATATTTTTTCAACAACCATCAGAGGCAATTGTTGAAATAAAATAATTTTATTACTAACTGACAAGTCCGAAAGATAAATTCATTGCCTACTACCGACTTTTTAATTATTTTCTAATGAACACTGTTAAAATCTCGAGTCAGTTAATACGGTTTTTCTTGAAAACCATAACATTTTTTAAAATTTAACAAGAGAAAAACATATTTAAAATTAAATTCTGCTGTGAATTAATATGATTATTTGTCAATTCGGTCAATGAAAAAAAGGTTCGGTATAATTTTAGGGGTGAGTCAACCCCAATGAACACCTTGTAGTGCTTCAATTAACTTTAAATCATAGTCAAAGAAGACCAGTAATAACTAATAAACCTAAATCATGTACCAAATTTGGTTTTTCTGCGGTAAAGTATTCCAGAGATATTAATTTTTTTCGAAATTTAGGGCCCCACTTTGAGGGCTAATAACTCCTCAAGGGCGCAACTTTGTATATAGTTAAGTTTGGTTAAACTACAATATTTAACGCCCTGTATAACATGAATTTCGTATATTTTAAATTTTAGTTGCGAATTCAAGCCAAGCCGCCATGACTGTCAACGTTTCTTATTGTTCCAGCACGGCACCGTGGCTACGTCCAGCGAGACCAGCGTGGGCACGCAGCCGGGCGGCAGCGTCACCTCCCGCACCGCCTCCGAGACACCCCAGGCGCCGTCCACGACCAGCCACCACCACACTGGGGCCAAATTCCGCCACGGCCTGCTCCAACTCATGATCCACACCATTGACCCCATGCACGATGGTCAGTATGCAGGTAGTCCGTTAAGCTCATTCATTCTATCGGTGTTCGTGAGTGCCTGTTGGTGTGACCACGCTGCCGCTGTTGGTTTGGTGTTGGTGCTGGGTGGGAAGAGAGCCTAACGCTCAACCGATGCTTTATCACATCGTTGAGCAGTCCGGAATCGAAAATAGCCATAACCAGAAAGGAACATCCAAATTGCACATGTTTCAAAAAGTAATACTTGGGCGGTGATTCACTAGGCATTCTCCAGATGTATTTCAAAAAACATCATTTCAATTTCAGTTTAATCAGTTCATAATTAACACTTTTCTGCTCTTGTAACACAATATATTATTCTGAAATCCGCATTTTAAAATTTATTTGACATTGTTTGAAGTATAAATAAAATAGTCTAAAATACAATTTACATACTTATCCTGAATTAAAGCTGACTGTTCTGAAATACATACGACAAATCTGAAAATCAAATTACGCTTCCTGGAATAAAATTGACTAAACTGACGCTTGCCGCGACTGGCTGAAATACATCTGGAAAAGGTGTACATTTTGAATCCATTTGTAAACTTTTAGGCCTGATATTTTACCTGATTGTTAAACTGTAAGTAAAATAGGTCCAATTTGTTCCTCATTGCGATGTTCCTTACACTTTAATCCTACGATACACGCACAATATGCCAAATTCTCTGATACTTGATTGGTCAAGTCTGGTTTATCGTCAGTTTGTTGGTTTAGACTTGTTGATGTGTCAAGAGACATATCGAGTTTTATATTTGTTACTTATTTGATCCATGGTGTTCTGATGCATGTGAAGTTCTAGTTTTTGACTTGTAAGTATCCAAATTTCAGATAGTTCCTGGCTCTATTGAGATTATCTCGATTCATCTGGATGTCCATTTCTTTAAATGACACTTATTTCTCTCATTTGTCCCGTGTAAGCTGTGCCGCATGCACAAAAGATGCTGTATATACACTGAGGCCTTAGAATACATTCTGCTTACAGTTCATCTTAGGAAATACTATCTCTGTCTTCTTTGATGTATTATAAACTCTATTAATATTTTTTCTTAAGAAGCAGTAAATCCTGTCAGCACATCTATGTACCTAAGGTAGATAAATTTTACCTTTTCCTTGTTTTTAGGTTGCCTTCGAATGGCTTATAGCCCAGACGGTATCTGTTTCAAAAAGCCATATTTTGGCTTTTTGGCTTTCAAATATCACTATAAATGAAAATTTTTCTATGCGCATAAAAAAAACGTGGGCTTAACTTTTGGCGGCACAATATGTTAAAAAAATTGGAAAAATGTCATATTTTTCTTCATATTTAATTATGTATCTTTTTAAGAGTTGATTTTAGGCGAAAATGGAAGAGGAAAAAAATTTTTGTAATGAAATTTTTTACAATACTTGACTGGTTACAAATCGAATGAATCATGATTATTATGGTAAAAATCGAAAAAATCACAAAAATGGGGTTAAAAAACAATACTTTTTAGGGAATTTTTTTGGGGTATTTAAATTGGGTGTAGGACCTTTATACTTGGCTCAAGAAAACTTCATGTTATGTAGAATCATCACACCAAATTTCATCAAAATCGATTCGATAGATTTTGCATAATAATTTTGCAATCCAGA